GAAAAAAAAAAAAAAAAAAACAAATACCTGGAAGCGCCTGATGAACTGACCCAGAACAACTATTTGCCTGACCTAACAAGCTAGGTCATCCCTAATCTTGGAGATCTGGGTGATGAAGCCAAGTCTGACAAAGCCCTTTGCAATTTTCCTTCCCATGTCCCAACCATGCAACCTCAGTCCATGGCTTACATGGTGAGTGCTAACATGGACCAGGGATCAACGGACTTCCAGATAGAGGCCGCCATCAGCAAAATCTTTGGCTCGGTGAGGTCCCAGGCATGCTGGGAGGGAGTCCAGTTTGGGAGCTCAGCTCCCACAACCAGTCTCATCTGTTCTTTGTCCCTAGGAGGCAGCCTGGAAGGTGACAGATGAATGCATCCAAATCATGGGGGGTATGGGCTTCATGAAGGTACAGGACGGTCTTCTGAGCCTCGGTTGGGCCAGGGGTGGGTAGGCACATCTCAGCAGGGGCATATAATTTGTGTGGCCCTGTGCTAGGAACCTGGAGTAGAGCGTGTGCTCCGAGATCTTCGCATCTTCCGGATCTTTGAGGGGACAAATGACATCCTTCGGCTGTTTGTGGCTCTGCAGGGCTGTATGGTAAGAGGGAGAATTGGGTGGGGGTAGAGGTGGGGAGGACAGTGAGTCCTGACTGCTGGACCCTCTTCCCCACAGGACAAAGGAAAGGAGCTCTCTGGGCTTGGCAGTGCTCTAAAGAATCCCTTTGGGAATGCTGGCCTCCTGCTGGGAGAGGCAGGCAAACAGCTAAGGCGGTAGGCGTAGGGTCAGGGCCAGGGGAGGGCAGGGCAGGGCAGTGTATGACAACTAACCAGTCATTCTCCCTCTTCCTCTCAGGCGGGCAGGGCTGGGCAGCGGCCTGAGTCTCAGTGGAATTGTCCACCCGGAGTTGAATCGGAGCGGTGAGCTGGTAAGTGGCCAGGGGTCCAGGAGAGCCTGCGTCAGGGACTGTAGCCGACGGCCCCTCTGAGCCCTGCACTGTCCACATCTCTTCAGGCAGTACAGGCTCTGGAGCAGTTTGCCACTGTGGTGGAGGCCAAGTTGATAAAACACAAGAAGGGGATTGTCAGTGAGTGAGCTCTACACCCTTCCGCCCCTCCCTTTCCTCTCTTTGAGACTAATGCCCCCACCCCCACCTACCCGGCAGATGAGCAGTTTCTGCTGCAGCGGCTGGCAGACGGGGCCATCGACCTCTATGCCATGGTGGTGGTTCTCTCGAGGTGAGGAGGCAGGCGGGGAATGCCTGAGCCGCAGGGGGCCTGGGCCTGGATCCCAGCCAGCCCAGATTTATTTTCATCTCCTGCTTCCTGCCAGGGCTTCAAGATCCCTGAGTGAGGGCCACCACACGGCCCAGCATGAGAAAATGCTCTGTGACACCTGGTGTATCGAGGTGAGACTCGGGGCTGCCAAGCTCAGGTGAGGGCTAGAGGTGCAGGCCCAACCCTCCTTCCCTCTCCCCAGGCTGCAGCCCGGATCCGAGAGGGCATGGCCGCCCTGCAGTCTGACCCCCGGCAGCATGAGCTCTACCGCAACTTCAAAAGCATCTCCAAGGCCTTGGTGGAGCGGGGTGGTGTGGTCACCAGCAACCCACTTGGCTTCTGAATACTCCTGGCCAGGGCCTGGCCCGGTTATGTGCCTTCCCTCAAGCCAAAGCCCCTCTCCTTAGGGCCCTGGTTTGTCCCGGAGGGGGCCTAGTATTCCCACGACTGTGCCTGCTCTCAAGAGCACTTACTGCCTCGCAAATAATAAAAATTTCTAACCAGTCATGCTTTGCTCCTGTGTGTCCGTTCTTTCCCTCTGCTGCCTGCCTCCCTCCCAAAGAAAGGAGCCAGAGGCGTGGGGAGTTTGCCTCTATTGCTTTATTTGGTGTTTTATACAAGTGACTAAAATAAATAGAGTAACAAAGGCAGCTACATGGCCCAAATCTCCCAGCTTCCTCAGGCTGCTGTCTAGGGTGCCTAACCCCAGGGTACCACTGACCACCCCCAAACCTGCACAGGGCAAGGCTATGGGTAACTGGAGGAGGAGGTCACATTCTGGGGTTAGAAGGGGCCCAACGGACGGGATTTTTCATATAAAAGAGAAAATGCCTATTTAAAAAGTCCCAAAAATGTAAGAAACTCTATTTTAACCCCCAAAAAGACTTATAAAAGAAACAAAGCTAAAAATAATCAAAGGTCCCTTGTCTACCCGAGGGAAGGGGGAGGAACCAGGCACTGCTGGTGAGAGTCACAGTGGCCACAATCTCCTGTATGGCAGCAGCTGCTAGGCTGAGCCCAGGCACTGTAAGAGCAAGCACATGATGGCCAGGACAGCCAGTCACACACCAGGAGCGCCAGGCCAAGCCTGGCCCCACAGTGGGCTACATAACATCCACAAAGAACTCGCTGGGATTGCCCATGGCCATGTGGAAGCTTTGGCGGCTGGCTGTCAGTTCTGGCGGCACAGAGCCCAGGTCTCTGACTGGAGGGGCCCCCGGAGGCTGCACTGCTGGAGGGACTGGAGGTGGGGGTGGGGGCATCATGACCACCATCATGGGGTTGTAGGGGAGGGCCATGCCAGGGGGTGGTCCATAGGGATGGAGCCCCGAGTGGGCTCGGAGATTAGGGGCACCCCCAGCTGAGCCTCTGGATGGAGGAGGGCCCCCATCGCCAGTCCCACTTGGTTCCCCACCCCGCCGAAGGCTGCCCCCTCGGCTGGAGGGCTCGGACTCACTGCCACTGCCGGACTTGGACTCGGGGGCCCGCTCCTCGGGCCTCCCTGTGCGCCCTGCCCCCCCATCACTCCGGGTCGACCCACTGCTCCGGCTGCCTGTGGAGGGACGGGAGGGGCAACTGAGTCCTCACCCAGGCTCCTCCCTGGCTCCCCTCTGATCCTCCCTCAGACCCTGGCCGTACAGGTATGTGGGGATGACTTACCCTCACTGTGCTGGCTGCTGGCACTGCCCCCACCAAAGGTATAAGATGAAAGTTCATGGTACGGTGGGGGCTGCGGGCTGTAGGGGTGTGGGGCCGGGTATTGGTAGGAGAAAGTGGGCAGCAAGGGCCAGGGGGTGGCCCCAGGCAGAGGAGCCAGGGTATCCTGGTCCGAAGCCCCACTGGAGCCATCGTTGTCATTGAGAGACAGGTTGACTAGGTCTGGAAAACAAGGGAAGTGAGGAAGAAATCACTGCTTCAAGAGGCTAAGGCCCCAAGACACGGAATGGAGAGGAACTGGAAAGTTCTCCCAGACCCACCCACGATGGGGCTCAAAACAGGGGTTCACAGGGGTCTCTGACAGGAAACTCCCATCTACTTCTGCCATGAGGGCAGGGGCACAGCCAGGGCCACCACTAGCCCATGTCTTTGTGGGACTCAGGAGGATGTGCACCTTCCCCCGGTGGACACAGTCCTGCACCTGGCGCGTGGCTTGTCCAGCAGCGCATGGATGGATGCCAGCCACGATCCTCGGCCAATGCAGGACCTAGTGCGGGACACACGCTGCTCGACCATCCATCGTGGCCCTGGCAGCGGTTTCTGGGCTAGGTCTAGGGTTGGAGAGGCAGAACAAGGCAGGCAAAGCCACACTCCCAGAGTTGGGGCAGAGGGACTCACAGCTCTCACAGCCACCACTGAGGTCTCCGAAGACGTAATAGCACTGCTCAGAGAAGGTGATCTTGTTGACGGTGTGTCGGATCAGGCCCGCTTTGAGCAGCCCACTGGCATACTTGCGGGCCTCCCGCCGCTCAGGAAAGCCCTCCACGTGATGGTAGAGCCAGTCAACCACATCCGAGCCTGGGAGCATCCACAGTGGAAAAAGGCCTCAGGTTCTCCTTCCAACTCCTGCTCTCGCCTCTGCCTGTGCCACTCCCAGCTTTGGCTGCCTCCTCCTCCCTTTCTCCAGCCACCTGCCCAGGACCCAGCCGTACCCAGAAAGGCATTAGGGATGGTGATCTTGAGCCACATGCGGTCCCGGACTTCCAGTCCAGACTCTGGAGCTGCCATGGCCTTGGTCACCGATGCCATGTCCGTATGGATGGAGAGACCCCGGCCCTCACAGCCTGGCAGAGGAGACCACAGGGAATGAGAGTCAGGGATCACTCCCACAAAGGCAATGGGTCAGACCACTGCAGGACAACCTTCTGCTGGGAGGGTGGGATGCGGTGGGCTGGTGGCTCACCATCAGGCAAAGAGGATCCAGATGTAATGGTGCTCATGGAGGAGGAGCCCGGATAGGCTGGGAAGGTGCCAGTCAGAGCCGCAGAGTGGGACACCCAGGCAGCAGGGTCAATTGGCTGGATGGGCTCATCTGGGACAAAGATGGCACCAAAATGACCCATTCTCAGTCCCCAAAAGCCAGCCCAGTCCCTCCCTGACTCAGCCTCCTGTTCCACCTCTGCCTGCACCCTCCTCCCACCCATTCCCCATGACCAGAGGTCCAGCCCCAGCCTCCTGGCCAGCCCCCACCCCCAACTTCAGGCCCCCTCCCTGAGTGTCACTCACTTCGCGGGAGAGTGAAATAGGCCTGAGGAGAGGGATCCCAGCACTTGGCCACAGTCAGCACAATGGGGCTACGGGGAAGAGAAGTCCAGTCAAGGGCGCAGGGGAAGAGGAGGCCTCAGGAGAGTGGGGGCCTGAAGCAACGATGGATTAAGAGACACAAAGAAAAGGAGAAGCAAGCACATCGCGGCTGGGCTAGAGAAGGTGAGGGTGGAAGGCACCACAATGCGGATGACTCATCAACATGGAAAACTCTTAAAAACATACTGCCAAATGAGACAAGAGAGTACACGCTGTACAATTCCATTCACAGAAAGACCAAAAACAGGTAAAATGAAACCGTGCTGTTCAAGGATACATGCAAGAGTGGTAACTATCGAGTGAGGCAAAGCTCTCCTGTGTGATGGTGACAGCCAAAGAAGTCAGGAGAGTGACCACCCCTGGGGGAGGGAGGCATTTGGGAGCAGGAAGGGACATCTGGGGAGGAAGTTCTAGAATATCAGCAATCTCCTATTTGATGGTCTAGGTGGCAGTGACATGGATATTCACTCTAGTATTATTTGATACGTCACACATTTGTTTCA